GAAAAAAAGTAAAAATATAATAGACAACAGAGGTACAACCCGCTCAGGCACCTCCTTCTGTCCCTCTCTAGGACAGGAGCTTTCTTTCCCCCGATAAATATATTCTGCTCTTAACTTCCATTTGAAAATAATAACAGTAGTAATATTAGACAATAGGTGGGACAAACAAAAACCAAACAAATTATATAGATGTATGAATGATAAATGAAAGTTGCAAAAAATTTCACAATTGTTTTGATGAGACTAACATTTCCCAGATAATGATATTGAATTGCATATGTACATACGAAATATTTCAAAGAGAAAGGTCAGTCTTTGAGGGGTCAAGCAGGGGACTGCAGCCCCAAGAGAGGAGGATCACAGAGGTTAGAGCCACATCTTCAAGGCTGTTCCCCAGACAACCCACCTTTCTGTACCCTGTGCAGGGCAACTGAAATTCAAGCACAAAACTACAAGCTTGAGACCTGGAGGTTTCATCTGATAGAGCTCACTATGACATGATGTTTTCAGTTCCTCTGGGAAGATTCCCAGCAGGGGATAGCTGGTTTAAATGGGATTTCCAGTGCTAGTTTTTTAAGGAGTCTCCACACTGATTTTTATAATGGTTGCACCAGTCTACATTCCCACCAGCAGCAGAGAAGAGTTCCCTTTTCCCCACAGCCTCTCCAGCATTTTTTGTTGGTTGATATCTTTATGATAGCCATTTTTTCTGGAGTGAGATGGTATCTCAGTGTTGTTTTAATTTACATTTCATGAATGGCTAATGATGTGGAGCATTTTTCATATATTTATTCGCTTCTTTAATTTTGTCCTCTGAGAAGTGTGTGTTTATCTCAGATGCCCATTTCTGGATTGGGTCCTTAAATTTTGGGGCCCTAATATTTTTTAGTTCTTTATAAATTCTAGACAGCAGACCTTTTTCTGAGTACTTATTAAGATTTTTTTTTTATCTGATAGAGTTCAAAGCAGTCAGAGTGACTGGTAAAAGCAGGGAAATCCCAGAAAAAAGAAAATCTGTCAGAAACAACCCCAGAATCTGGTTGAAAACCACGCTCAGATTCTTATAGACCCTGAGCTGCATGTGCATGAGGGACATTTCACAGAACCTCACACAAAAAGGGGTAGCCTGAGTGGGTAATCTCCTGTCCTGCCCACTTAAGTGACAGTTTCTAGTTATAGTGTCCATAAAGTAGAGGGAGCTGCTACAAAGTCCACACTTCCCATGGCCCACCCTGTGCATAAAACCAAGTCTTCACAAGTTCAAACAGATTTAAACTACCTGCACAAATTGGAAGGCCAGCGTTGTTATCAAAACAACTCTCGCTAAATACATCTGTAGATTGAGAGTGATAAGGCCCAAAAGGGTTTTGTGCATGAAGTTAAACATCTACTGACTAGTTAGTTATTCCACTCTTGGGTATTTACTTAAGTGTGAATCTTTTTCTACGTAGAGAACTATAGCATGTATACATATTTATTGACAACTGCATTCATCATAGCTCCAAGCTTAAAATACTCAAATATTAATAACATGAACACAAAAAATGTTTGGCACATCCACAAAATGTAATTGTATTCAATGATGAAATGAAAGAAAGTGCTTGTAAAATCAGCAACACAGAGGAATCCTCAGAGCCAGCACATCAAATCAAAGGAGCCAGACAAAGAAGTCATTCTAATTCCATTTATAGGAAAGCCCTAGAAATCCAAATCCAAGCCACAGTGTCCTAAAACAGACCTGTGACTAAAAGCACAATAGGCATAACAATATTGTATGTTGACTTTTGGGCCTACACGGGTGTATGCATTTGCCAACACTCACAAAACTACAATTAAACTAAACACATCTTTATTGCATATAAATTATGTCACAATAAAATATTTCTAAACTAAAGAAATGTTTAAGCAATACATTGGAAATACATGTACCAGGCAGAAAGTGTGATGACAGTGAAAGATCTACAAAATAAAGAGATACTGTGTGGTTATAAACAGAAAGAAGATGGGGGGGCAGCCCCTGTGGTGGACTAACAACTGATGATCAATATTCTTTCTTACTAAATTATAGATATATTTCATCCCAATTATAATTTTCCCTATGCAAAGCATCATTTGTATTAATATTTAGTTCATTGATAATTGTCTATTGCTTTGTTTATTTTTATTTTTTATTAATTTTATTGAGAAACAAATAGCAATGACACAGTTTCAAAACCGATTAGTAGGATAATTTCAATAATTAATACATTGCATAGTGTTGTATTCATAGTGGTTATTCATAGTACAAGATGCAGACATGATATCCTGTCCAAACACTATTAGTACACATCTTTCTCATTGAATTAAGAGAAAGTAGCTGTATATCTATCCTAACTATTTTGTAGATACAACACTTAATTGGCAATGAAATACCCATCTCTATTACCTGTGAAGTAAGCAACTGCACTGAAGATAGCAATGTGTATTAGTAGGGTCATGCTTAGAGAGCCTGTCATTCTGGTCTTCTGAATATGTGCTGCTTGTCATGACATGCCAGTTCCTGGCTGTGCTGTCTCTTGGGTAGATGTTTGTTTAAAAAGGAAGGGGGTGGTGAATGAAGGCAGGAGACAGGAAAAGGGGTGTTGTGGGACTGCCCTGCTACAATGCTATATATGGTTAGGTTTCTAAACTTCTGTATAAAAATATGTAATTGTTTATTCCTATTTTTTAATTTTTTTTCTTCATATTCTGTAGGGGCTTAAAGTTTAACATATCAATACTTGATGGAAAATGCCTGTTTTATGTCATACCTAAGATGTTTGATATTCAGACAGATAGTGAGGTTAAGCTCAACTGCCTAGATTGTAGGGTAATAACAATAAGCTTCTCTTCTGGAGGGTTAACAACCTAAGTTTGCAGGCCAAAAATTAGAGAAAAAGCAGGGCTGCAAAGACAGACAACATTTTAGCCCTAGTCTTTCAAGGTCAGTGAAGACTTGGGACATAGGAGAACCTGTACTGTAACATCATGTAACTCAGTTGTGTCCCAAATTTTCTGATCAAGGAGATTATGGGGTCACAGAGGAAAGTGATCAGTGATGTAGAGAGTGCCTAAGCAGTGTCACATGGAGAGAAAACACTGTCTCAGGCTTTCACAGAGAGCAAATTGGTTAAGCAATGGCTGTGACTCATCTACATGGCTGACACTGACAAAGGATCTACAATCTGAGGTACAGAGTTTCAGGATAAATCCTGAGGGGATTTGACTGACCTTATCAGATACAAAAGCTACATTTCTTGTTATATAGGTTCTGCTTTATCTTGGTCTTAACCATCCAGCAGAAAAGTATAAAAATGGGGTATAAAAAGTAAAGCCATATTATTATGCTGAGCTGCAAAAGGCTCAAGTCAAGAACTTCTGACATTGCTAGTCTTACGGAAAACCCACTACTATTATGGACTACTGGAATATATTGGAATATTTTGCTGAATTCATGAACCTATAATATTTAAATGACAATGCAATACCCTTCTCTGACAAACCTAACAAAAAAGGGATACAAATGAACAACCATTTTGTATCTGCATATTCAAAATAGTTAGGATAGATATACAGCTACGTTCTCTTAATTCAATGAATAGAAAGATTTGTTCTAATAGTGTTTGTGAACAGGATATCATGTCTGCATCTTTAAATGAATAACCACTAAGACAACAACATGCAATGTATTAATTATTGAAACTGTCCTACTAATCGGATTTGAAACTGTCACATTGCCATATTGAAAAAAAAATACCCATCTCTGACAAAACTAAACAAAAAAGGGGGATACAAATGAAGGACCATTTGGAGATCAATTTGTAACACCCGCCTGAACTGAACCAGCATGGTGCTGAGTGTAGAAGGCCCACATGAGGATTGTTGCCAGCAGCATAAGAGGCAGAACTGGAGAAGAGGAAAAGCTGTAAGAGGCTTCAGGGAGGCTACAGGAGGCTGTAAAAAGCTGTTAGTTCTCTTGGAGGAGCTTATCATCCTGCATTTCCTGATCAACTCAGCTGTTCTGATCATTGAAGGAGCTCAGGACCTTGTCACTGAGAATGGCTACAGTTCACTTTGGGGAGCTCTGGTCCCCACTTTAAATATTGCTTCCTGGCTACAGAGGGGAAGATGGTGCACATCTCAGCCTCCTGGAGAAGCTTGTCATGTTGGTTTTCCTGATGCAAACTCAGCTTCCCTCATCACTGGAGGAGCTCAGGACCTCATTGTCGCTGAAAATGGCTGTGGTACTTTTGGGGGAAGCTCTGGTTCTTACTTTGAGTGTCACTTCCTGTCTGTTAGCACAGATCTTTCATCCAGCTAGCACAGACTTTCTAGCTTCCACTACTGACCTTCGGCCCTTCTCAGCACAGATCTGGAAACAGGCCCACATGAAACATCGTCATGGCCTCTAGGCCTCCAGCTGGACTCATGAGAGGCACTGCTATGAGCTCTAGACCTTCAGATGGACTCATTAAAGATATTGCTATAGGATCCAGGCTGTCAGCTGGAGCCTTGGGTCATTAGTGTGTGGACATATTTCCTGCACTCTTTCTATGATTCTTGGGGTGATTTATTATAAATAATCTCATAAAACATGTCCTATATTGTATTGCTTCCCCTTGCAAGATCCCAAACTACAACAACCCCAAATGTGATGACAGAAACAGAGAACAAGATAGGTGTGAGTTTCTCTCTCAGGTAGAAGTCCCGTTAGTTTTGGCCTCTTGAGATCATCCAAGAAGCTAGGAATGTGGTAGTTTTAGCAATACCTTTGCCTGAATAAACAATCTGAATTACAGGTATTTTTACATCACAACAGTTATTAATGATTTTCAAAATTTCATTCATACTTATCAATGCTCTAGAATTATTGTAAACATAAGACCTGTCTACTAAATTTTAATACATATTACAGGTTCAGAAAGAAACAATGAACACAGAGGGACATGGCTCTCACATTATTCCTTTGCTTGTGTTTCCTTTTGCAGGACACTCAACATGTTCTCAAACACGAAGCTCCAAAAGGCTCTGCTGATATTTTTGTCTCTTTTAATGTTAGCCTGGATAATTCTTGTGATTTCTCAAAACTCCACCAAGGTAAGAACAGCTGTCTCCAATTTGATATGAAGTCCCCACCTGTCAGACCTGTGTCAAGTCAGACATCATTAATCAATTCTGTGGGTCTTCTATTCCAGCTCTGTTCTTCCCCCTTCTGAGCCTCATTTCAGAGGGATTCTGCCCTCTGAATTTTCATTGCCTTGTTTTCCATTTAGCTGCAATGCTTCTGATCAGAGGTCAATCTCCCATGTGACCTGTAATGACTCTTGTTAAGGCCACCACCTTCTGTGTCACTAATTTAGGGTGTACATATTCCTTTACGAACAAATCTACTTCGACACTGTCTTTCATTCTTTTTCTTTCTTCACCAATGAACAAGTTATTTCTGTTATGCAACAACATGCTTGCCTTCACCAAATCAGAGCTTATCTCCTATTGCATGTTCTAGTAATTATCACTAGTGGAAATACATGTTATTGATTTTATAAGTTTATCTTGTATTCAGGCACTAGCTGGGTCTCTTAATACCAATAATTTTCTAACCCTGATTTTCTTTGTAGACAATCACAACATCTACAAAACAATAAAACAAAAAATAAAAAAATAAACATAGTTTGAAGCTCTCATACCTTTGGATTTTTTTCTTTTAATTTTATTACTCAGCACTTCTAATCTGTTTAGCTGATGGCAGGTAATCTTGTCTTCTTTCTGACTTTAGAAAATGTGTAAGGTTTTCTATTTGTTGAATTTTAATGACAAATAAAAATTTTGAAATATCTCAAAAGTGTTTGACAACTGTAATCTCCAATTGGAAAAGTTGAAAACAGTGAAAAATCATGCTATTTTTTCTTTTAATCCATTAAGACATAAATTGTACATTGAAAGGCTGGTGTAGCTACAATGGGAAAAAATGAATAGTAAGAGACCAGGACTGTCCTCCTACAGTCTGAAGACCGTCTTCACTATGAAAGTGACTACCACAATCTAAGGGGTACATGATGATGGCTTGTGCTGTGATAGGTTAAAAATGAAAAGATTATAAAGCATAGTTAAAAGAGATGCATAGGCAGAATGAATAGAAATTGGTTACTGGATGTCAGGTTTACAGGTAAGGGAGAAACAATTACACCAGCATCATTCTACTACTCATACATACTATCTGAGCTTTTTTTAAAATTTTTATGTATTTGGTACAGTGTCTTACTACACAGCTCAGATTCATAGTGATCCTCCTGTTTTCAGCCTCCTCAGTGCTAGGATTACAGGTGTGCCCCACCACACCCAGACTCAGTCACCCAGGCTCAGCATGCCCAGGGGCAGGACTAGCCCAGCATGCGGTACCGGGGATTGAAGCTCGGCTCCTGCGCTTGCCTAAGCAGGTGCTTAGTGTGCTGAGGTAGCTCACCGGCCCTCTAAGCTATTTTTAAAATGGAACTTATTTATCTATCATGGTTCAAGTATTCTCTACTGGAGTAAAAATATAAATGTGTATATCCTATTAAAAATTGATAATAGTATATAAATAAGCATTCAAACTAATTATAAGTAAGAATAAATGTGAATAAGTTGGCTTCATAATGTGTCACATATTTGTCATTTCAGGTTTGGTTAACTCTAAACTTACCCATTTCTCTGCAAAACTGGAATGCCCTCACAAACTCCTCATGCCCTAACACATCAGTGAGCTTGATAAAGTCACCAACAGAGACTGACCTGAAAATCAGGAAGATAGTGGAAAAAGTGGACCAGCTGATCCCACTCAGACCCTTCACCCACATGCACACCACCACCAGTGCTGCCCAGAGCACAGCCACCATCCTCAACCCCAGAGACACATACTGCCAGGGGGACCAGCTGGATGTCCTGCTGGAGGCGAAGAACCACCTGGGACGCAGGAAGGAATACGGCGGGGACTTCCTGAGGGCCAGGATGTCCTCCCCAGACCGTAAGGCCGGTGCATCAGGGAAGGTGACGGACTTCAACAACGGCACCTACCTTGTTAGCTTCACTCTGTTCTGGGAGGGCCAGGTCTCCCTGTCTGTCCTGCTCGTGCACCCCAGTGAAGGGGCGTCAGCCCTCTGGAGGGCGAGGAAAGAAGTCAATAATATAATTACTTTCAAAGGTAAATTTGTTAATGGTGCTGCACAAGTCCTTTCTGAATGTGGCTTAACCCTAAATTCAAGTGCAGAACTATGCAAATATCTGTTCGGCGATCAGGAAGTGTTCTACTGTATTAAGCCTCAACACATGCCCTGTGAGGCTCTGACCGATGTGTGTTCCAAGAACCAAAAAATTACTTATCTTACTGTCAAGGAAAAAAGCCTTTTCCAACAGTGAGTATACTTTTCTTTTATTATTATAATTTTCTTTAATTTTGAAGAGTAAAAACAAGAGCAAGGAAAACAAAAGCAAAGACAACAGGGTAACATAACAACACATATGTTACTGATTTTCAAAACAAGATTAGCCCATTAACAGTGATTGATATATTATCTTTTTTTCATCATCAAATGTGTTGCTCAGATTAACAGATATAGGTATGCAAGATGGGGCATATGATTGAATATTACCACATGCTTTCAAGAAATCTTAAATTTTTGTTCTTGGCTCTCAGTTTCTTCTATGACCTTTTTTAAAAATTTACTTTAAAGAGAGTATAGTAATAATTATGTGACATTAGAAATGTCACATGTAGAAGACAAAGATGACAGGTATGTCAAGCATTATTTTAGTCTTACACCTTGCTGTCTTCAATGTAGTTGCTTAGTTCACAGATATCAACATAGAGTTAGTCAAAGTGAGAAATTTTACCCATAAACTGCTATTTTCAAAAACCTGATGGAATTTCTTAGGAGTATTGCCTTATCCATTTACATGTATGGTTTTTGTCCTTATTTCCTAACTTTTCTCCTATCTCTCTCTTTGTTGTTTAATCCTTAAGTTCTTTTTCTTTCCATTTAACTGTTTCTGTTACACATTTCAGTTTTTATTTCTTCTTTTGAGTTCTTACACTACGGAGACAATACAATATTTATATATGTGGGTCTCGTTTATATCACTTATGAGTATAATCTCAAATTGCATCCAGTTACCTACAAAAGCTTTGAGTGTTTTTCTTTATAACTGAATAATACTCCATCGTATAAAAATGACACATTGTTTTCATCCATTCCTCAGGTGATGGGCATTTTGGTTGTTTCTAGGATTTGACTATCACAAATTGTGCTGCTATAAACATAGGTACACACATATCACTATGATATGTTGTTTTTAGTTCTTTTGGGAAAATTTCCAGAAGGGGTTAGCTGGATTGAATGGCATTTCCAGTCCTGGTTTTTTGAGGAATCTCCACACTGATTTCCATAATGGTTGCACCAGTCTACATTCCCATCAGCAGTGGATAAGGGTTCCTTTTTCCCCACAGCCTCTCCAACATTTGTTGTTGGTTGATTTCCTTATGATAGCCATTCTTTCTGGGGTAGGATGGTATCTCAGTGTTGTATTAATTTGCATTTCTCAAATGGCCAGTGATGTGGAGTATTTTTTCATGTATCTATGTGTTTCTTGTATCTCTTCCTCTGAGAAGTGTGTGTTCATCTCAGATGACCATTTTTGGATTGGGTCCTTAAATTTTGGGGCCCTAAGGTTTTTTAGTTCTTTATAGATTCTACATAGAAGACCTTTGTCTGAGTGATTATTAGTTAAAATTTTCTCCAATTTTGTGGGTTGTCTTTCCACTCTGTTGGTAATTTTTTTGACATTCAGAAACTTCTCAATAAGAGGAGGTCCCAGTTGTTAATTCATTCAGATATTTCCCATGCAGTTTGATTCTTGTTCATGAAATGTTTGCCTAACCCTGTATCTTCAAGATTTCCACCTACTTTCTCTTCCAGGACATTTAGACTTTCTGTTTTAATGTTTAGATCTTTAATCCATTTTGGCTTTAGTTTAGTGCATAGTGATAGAACCTGGTCTACTTTTAGTTTTCTGCATGTAAAGAGCCAGTTCTTGCAGCACCATTTCGTAAAGAGACTATCTTTCTTCCAGTGAACATTTTTGGCCCCTTTGTCAAAGATAAGAAGGCTGAGAGTGTTTGGACCTCTATCTGCATCTTCTAATCTATTTCACTGATCCTCAGGTCTATTTTTTTCCAATATCATGCTTTTTATCACAGTACCTTTGTAGTATAATTTTAAGTCAAGAAATGTAATGAATGCTTCCTGCCTTGCCTTTGTTGCCCAGGATCTTTTTTTCTGTAATTTTTATAAAAATATTTTATTTTTAATATTAATTTTATTGAGAAAGAAGTAACAATGAGACAGTTTCAAAACAGGTTAGGATAGCCACAATAATTAATACATTGCATATTGTTGTCTTCATAGTAGTTATTCATAGCACAAGATGCAGACATGATATCTTCTCTAAACACTACTAGTTCAAAGCTTCCTTCTCATTGAACTGTGTATGTGTGTGTGTGTGTGTGTGTGTATGCTATTTTGTATATACAATTTTTTTCACTACAAAATGGTCCTTCATTTATAGCCCTTTTTGTTTACTTTGTCAGAGATGGGTATTCCATTACCATTCATATATTGTAGGTGTATAAATTGAGCAAAGTAATTCAATATAGTCCAATAGTCTAGAATAGTAGTGGGTTATTTGCATGACTGGCAGTGTCAGAAGCTGTTGACTTGAGAGTTGCCCAGGATTGCCTTTGCTATTCTATATCATTTCTGGTTCCAAATGAATTTTAGGAATGATTTCTCATCTGTGAGGTATGTTGGTGGAATTTTGATAGGGATTGCATTAGATCTGTATAACAATTTTGGGAGTATGGCCATTTTCACAATGCTGGTTCTTCTGATCCAGGAGCAAGGAATATCTATGCATTTTCTGAAATCCTCTTTGATCTCTTTTTTCAGAGTACTGTAATTTTCATTGAATAGATCTTTTACTTCTTTAGTTAGATTAATTCCTAAGTATTTCATTTTTTGCAGTGCTAAAGGTATTGTTTCTATTTCTCTCTCAGTGTGTTTGTTGTTGGTGTAGAGGAATGCTACTGACTTTTGAGTATTGACTTTGTATCCTGCTATGCTACTGAATTTGTTTACTAATTCTAGTAGCTTCTTGGTGGAGTTTTTGGGTCTTTCAAGTAGAGTATCATGTCATGTGCAAACAATGATAGTTTAACTTCTTCTTTCCTTCTTATTTCTTTTATTTCTCTCTCTTGTCTAATGGCTCTAGCTAATGATTCCAGAACTATATTGAATAAGAGTGATGATAGAGGACATCATTGTCTTGTATCTGATCTGAGAATAAAAGATTTCAGTTTTTCCCCATTTAGATTTATGCTAGCAGTTGGATTTTCATAGATGGCTTTTATCAGATTGAGGTAGAGGCCATCTATTTCAATTTTCTGTAGGACTCTGAACATGAATGAGTGTTGGACTTTGTCAAAAGCCTTTTCATTATCAATTGAGATGATCATGTGGTTTTTGGGTTTGGCTCTACTGATACAGTGTATTATATTTATAGATTTTCATATGTTGAAACATCCTTGCATCTTGTGATGAATCCTACCTGGTCATGGTGTATAATCTTCTTGATGATTTGCTGAATTCTATTTGCTAAGATCTCATTGAGGATGTTTGCATCTATGTTCATGAGGGAGACTAGCTTGCAGTTCTCTTTTTTAGTTGTATCTTTCCCTGCTTTTTGCTATCAGTATACTACTTCCATCCAGGAATTATTTGGGAAGTATTGCTTCCTTTTCAATTTCATTGAAGAGTTTGAAGAATATTGGGATTGTACATTTCTTATACATTTCTTATAGAATTCAGCTGTGAATCCATCAGGACCTGGGCTTTTCTTTGTCAGTAAGTTTTTATTACATTTTCAATTTCATTGGCTGATATTGGGTTCTAAGAGTTCTTATATCTTCTTCAGTTTTGGTAATTTGCGCCTAAGAGTCTGTCCATTTCTTCTGTGTTTTCCATTCTGTGAGAATAAAAATTTTCAAAATAGCTATTGATGATCTTCTGAATTTCCACAGGATCTATGGTAAATTTGCCCATTTCATTCCTTATTGCTTGAATTTGAGATTTTCCTTCCTCTTTTTGATGAGGTTAGCTAGGGGCTAATCAATTTTAGTTTATCTTTCAAACAATCAGCTTTTTGATTCATTAATTCTTTGTATCGTTTTGTCTCAATTGCATTAATTTCTGTTGTAATCTTTATAATTTCCTGCCTTCTCTGGGCTTCAGGCTTTGTTTGCTCTTCTTTTTCTAGATGCTTGAGGTGCAGCAAAAGGGTATTTACTTGTTCCTGTTCTGTTTTCCTAATGTGTGAATTCACAGCTGTAAATTTCCCTCTAAGAACTGCTTCCATTACATCCCACAAATTCTGATAAGTTGTGCTTGAATTTTTGTTGAATTGTAGATATTATTTACTTTCTCATTTAATTTCATCTGTAACCCATTGGTTGCTGAGGAGGGTGATTTTTGATTTCCATGTGTTTGTAGGGGTTTTGTGGTTAGTCATTTATTTCCAGTTTCATTGCACTGTGGTAAGATAATATGCACAAGATTTCTGTTTTCTTGCATATACTTAAGCATAACCTACGGACTAGTATGTGGTCTATTTTAGAAAATGTCTCAGCTGAAAAGAATGTGTATTCAGATGTGGCTGGGTGGAACACTCTGTATATGTCCACTAAGTCCATTTGTTCAAAAGTCTTGTTCAATTCTGCTACCTCTTTGCTAATGTTTTATTTGCTTGACCTATCTTTTTGAGATAAGGGGGTATTAAGGTCTCTGTTTAAGATTGTGTTATTGGATATTAGATTTTTCATGTCCATTAGGATTTGTCTTATACAGTTGGGTGCTCCTGTTTTCAGTGCATACATCTTTATGAGTGTTACCTCTTCCTCTTGAATTTTTTCCCTAAACAATATGTAGTGGCCTGCTTTATTTCATTTGATCACTCTTGAAGTTCAGATTGTCTCAGAACAGGATTGCTACCGCTACTTTTTTCTGAGGTCCTGGGACGTGTAGTATTGTTTTCCATCCTTTGACTTTGAGCCTATGAATTTATGAGTTAAGTGTGTTTCTTGTGTACAGCATATTGTTGGATTTTGCTAATTCACTCTGCTAGTCTATTTCTTTTAATTGATAGAATGAGTCCATTTATATTGATGGTTATAACTGGGATGTATTGACTTATGTTTGACATGTTATTAACCTGTTGTTCATTTCCTATTTTTCTCCTGTATTTAAATGTTTGTCCTATTTGGTGGGTTCTTTCTGTTCTCATTCATGGAGTTTTGGTTATTTTG